CGATGGCACACCCACGCACACAACCCCTCACACCCACCCACACACACCCCCCAACACACCCACACACCTTCATAATACATGCATAAGACATTAGTCAGTCGTTTCCGGTAAAAAAAAAAACCCGTTTCCGGTACATTTTTTAATTAAAAACAAAAAAAGAAAATTAATTATAACAAAAAACTTTTAACAAAAAAAAAATTAAAGCCAAAAAAATGAAAATTTTCCCCCCTTTTTTTGTTTGTTGTTTGTTGTCGGTTGTTGTTTTTGTTGTTATTAAGATGATATACTTGTTAATACTTTTTTAATCCTTTTAATAATATTAATTAACTAATATCGATTGATTTTTTTTATTAATTCAATTTTATCAAAATCTTTAAAGAAAAATTAAAAAAAAGAAAAATGAAAAAGAAAAAAGAAAAAAAAAAGGAAAATCATGCAATTCGACACACACACACACACACACTTGACATTTTTATTTATGACAACCTCCCCCCCCGTCCGCCCTTTTCCTCTATTTTAAGGTAGCAAAACCCCCCCCCCCTGTTAGGAAATACAAAAATAACTACAATAAACACGTACCAGGAACCAGAAGAATTTTCTTTTGCATTTTTCTGTTTTTTTGTAAAGAAAATTAAAAAAAATTTTTTAATTTTTTTCCTTCATTAATCAATTTTCCTTCATTTAAATTCAAATTTCAAAATATTTTCCATTTCGTCATGAGAACTCCCTTTTATTGTAACGCAAAAAGAAAAAAGAGAAAAAGAAGTATTATTATTATTATTATTATTATTATTATTATTATTATTCATTATTATTATTATTATTATTATTATTTATATTAAATATGCGCATGCGCGAAAATCTCATCTTATATGTCCTTCAATTAAATTTTTTATTTTATTTCTTTTTTTTTTTTTTTTTTTAAAAAGTTACTTCCGGTAAATGTATAGTTGCTTCCGGTAAAAAATTTCGTTTTAAATCTAAATTTTTTTTTTTTTAAAACAAATTTTATGTTCTCTACCCGGCATCGTTTTGTAACGGTTTTTTTTTTTAAATAATAAAAAAAAATTTTTTTCACTCACCGAATTATTTGATGTTTGTTTTCGTTTGTTTGTTTGTTCGTTCCTTCCTTCAAAATTGTATTACTTCTTCTTTTATGCAATAATAATTATTATTATTGGGTGTAACAATCGGCTACATTATTTTTTAATTCTGAAAACAAAAAAACAAAATTTCATTATTAGAGACGCCATGTTTTTAACGAACTTTTTTATTTAAAAAATAGAACGACGACGACAACGATACTCATTCGTATCGTATTGATTGATAATTAATCGATTTATTCCAATAATAAAAAAATTTGTAAAAGATTTAAAATTTCATATTGAAAATATTACAAAGTTGACGATATTTTCTTATTGAAATAAAAAAAAAACCGTTAAATAATAATAATAATAATGATAATAACAACGCGCATGTGAGTTTTATATAAAATCGTCCGATTACATACAAATGAGAAAAGTTTTTCCCCCCCCAAAAAAAAAAAAACTAAAACTAAAAAACTTAAAACTGTTAAAGTTAAAGAAATTTATTTATTATTCTTAGTTATAACTTACACGAAATGGCGGATTTAAAAAAAAAGAAAAAAGAAAAGGAAAACTTACCAACAAGTTTATATTTTATAATAATAATAATAATAGTAATGGCGTCGTTAAATTTATTGTATTATATAAAACGGATTAACAATCGACGAAATAATTGATTGATTCGTTTGAATATAAAATTTTAAATTAACAAAAAGTAATTAAACGCTTGGAAATTTGATAAAAATTCGTTTGAACAAAAAAAATCACAAATTTCATTTCATTTTTGAAATTAACGGAAAACGACGTTCTTTTTTTCCCTTTCGAATTTTTAAAATTTTTGCCATTCGTTCGAGTTATTACAAAATACGAATTATCCTATCGATTTTTTTAATTTTATAATTTTAACGTTACAAACAAACAAAAAAAAAGTCAAAAATCAATTTTTTTTTAAATCGTTACAAATACGTTTGCATACGAAACAATTAAAAAAAAACCGTCGTTTCGAACGTTTCCGCCATTTAAATTTAATTCTTATCCGCAGCGATACGTCATTAATACACTAGCGTACCTAGCGGATTTTTTACGAACTAAAAAAAATTTTTTTTAAAATAATTTTTCACATAACATACGGGAATGTGGGGGCAAAAAAAAGAAAAAAATTTAAAGATGGCGGATAAAGTTAATTATTATAACGGTCAAATGTTGTTTGTTGTAAATTATTTTCATGTAAAAACATTTACGAATAAAACCATATTTGTTTCCTTTTTTCTTTCTTTTTTAATTAATTTAATTATTATAAATTTATAATTTAAACACGAATGATATTAATATTTAAATAAATTTACAAAAAAAAAAACTAAAAAACGTTTATATAAATTTGAAACGCAATAAATAATAATAATTTTTTATTAATATGAAATCTTTGAATCGTTATTGTTTTCCATAAAATATTGGCGCGATTTTTCCTTTGTTTTATTATTATTATTATTTTCACATATTCGGATTATATATAATTTAAAAAACAAAAAAAAAAGAGAAAAAAAAGGTTGTTGCTAAACGCCATATTTTTTTTTTTAAATTTTATTTTGCTTTATTATCACCCACGTAATAAAATAAAATTATTATTATTATTATTATTATTATTATTATTATTATTATTATTATTATTATTATTATTATTATTATTATTATTATTATTATTATTATTATTATTATTAACAGGTTGTAATAAAATAAATTTTTTTTTTGCACGAGATTTAATTGTGCGACCTCATTAAAAAAAATGTCGCATTTTTTTTTTTTTTTTTTTTTTAATTTTCCACTTTATTAAAACGAATTTTCTCTCTTTTCCTTTTCTCCCCTTTTCGATTTTATTAAATTCGAAAAAAAATTAATATATATACTCAATTATTATTATTATCATAAAACTGCAATAGAAAAATCAGAGGAAACTTTTTTTGGGGGGTCAAACGTTATACAAATAAATTTTTTGCCCTCCCTTTAAAAAATTACAAAAAAAAAAAAATTACAAAAAATTTTTTTTACTTTTATTTACGATATAATAATAATAGAGAAAATCACGTGATTGATTGACACGATTATTATTATAATAATAATAATAAATGAAAAATGACAACTGAATAAAAAATTTTTTTTTATATAATAATAATAATAACCTACCGTAAAAAATAAAAGGTTAACCGGCCTAAAATGACTAAATTGTTATTATTTTCCATAAATTTATTTATTAATTAATAATTAATTAATATCGTTATTAAAAAAAATTGTCATTATTATTATTTATAACCATTACCATCATTATTATTATTATAATATAACCAAAGTAACGACGAATTCAATTTTTTTTTTTTTTTTAAATTCAATCATATTTTAAATTTTATTACCTTTAATTTAATTTTAAGCGATTTCATGTATTATTATTATTATTATTGAATTCGATAAATAAATAAATTTATTTAATTTCAATACGAAATTAAAAAAAACACGTGTCAACAGAAAAAAAAAAAAAAAAAAGGATGACAGAAAATTATCTGATGGAAAAAGTTAGAATATTCTATAATGTAATTAAATGCATATTCGTCCTTGTAAATTTTTGACACTTGATAAAAAAAAAAAAAAAAAATTTAAATATAAACTTACCCGTTGGTGTTCCACACACACACACATACACACTTCATAATAAATGTTGTACCTTAAAAAAGGTTTTTACCGATTTCCCTTTTTGTGTGGGGGACTCGCACATATCGATCAAAAAAAAAAAAAAAAAAAAAAAAAAAGGGTAAAACGAAGCGCATGAAAATCATGTAAAAGGATTTTCATGGAGAGGGAGTAATACGGTAATTTTCACTACTGACATCTATCGGATGATTGTTTAAATTACTTAAAGGGTTGGCAAAACTGCGTGCGATAATAACTTTTGTGCTATTAACGAAAATGGCTGATTTATTTTCTTAAATTTATTATTAACGTGTACTGCTGCAGTAAACAAAATGGCGGATATTAT